GCCTCCTCCAGCAGCGCGGCAGAGTAGTCATAGCCGTGCGACGGGTGCCGCCCAAGAACGTACAGCACGAGCGTCGCACCGGTGAAGTCGTTCGCCCTCGTCGCCACACCGGGGAACCGCCAGCACGTCGTCCGCTGCAGGTTGCGTCGTGTTCGCCTCTCTTCGACGTCCGTGGAGGGGACGCCCAGCACAACAAGGTACTCCCACCGGCTCCACGTGTCCACAACACTGCGTGGGATGTGAGCAAGTGCTGCGTCTTCCGCGGCAGTGACGCGCGAGTGGCGGAGGTTGTTGGGTCCCGGTACGCCATCATCGGCAGCGGTGTCGAACCTGAGGGTCAGAACAGCCGTGGCCACAATGAAGGGAATCAGCAGCACAGTAGCCCGCTTCAGCTTCTGTCTGAGCGTCAGCAGTTTTGGTTTCGCCATGGTCGCTGTTGGTGTGAGAGACTCAGCAATAGAAAAAAGGGGCGGAGAGAGTGTGGGAGCGGCAGGCGAAAATCAGAAAAGCCACGGCCACGCGGCGCAACGCAGCCACGCAAGTGCGCGGAGGCCCGCCAGCCAGCCTGCCGCGCCACCCGGATCCGGGACGGTGCGGATGAAGGGGTTAAGGCGGCGGAGCGGCCGGCAGCACGCGCCCCCCCGCCGAGCAACGGCGGAGAGAGGGAGAGGAAGAGAGGCCGCGGAAGCAGGGGCAAGCAGCGCCAGGGAAACAGCGAGGGTTGGGGGCAGGGCCGCCGCGGCAGCAAATGGGGTGGCGACACAAGCACACAGGAGGCACGGGGGCCCACCGCAAGGGCTCGTCCGGCGCCTGGGGGACGCTGCGCCGCCTCCTCCCGCCATCGCGAGCCCCTCCGCACCCAATCACGCACACACCGCCGCAGCGGCTCGACGATCCGCAATCAGCGCCCTTCTTTTGCTATTCCTCGTGCCTTCTCAAATAAACCCGACGGCCCGCACGCCGGCCACCGTCGCAGTGCAGCGCCGCCACGCCGCGCGGAGATGCGAGGAAGAGCCCCAGCCCCCGGAGATGGCGCCGCAGTGGGCGGCGCGACACACAACCACGTTACGCAACCGCCCCGGGCTAGCGCAACACCTCGACAACCCGCGGCCGCCAAGCATCAAGAAAAAAAAAACAAATCGATAAACCGGGCCGTCGACAAATCAGGAAAAGGGAAGAGGAGGCACCTGCCACGAGCATCAACGTTATACCGCATTTGCGAGGGCTTTTTTGCCTTCCCGCCGCGCAAAGGCACTGTTGGAGGCAGTGCCTCCCCAACTCGAGGAACAACTGCGCCAACTTCTTGGTGAAGCACAGATTCCCCACTTCCCAAGCGTCCACTCCATGTTTTTTCCCATGCGCCTGCGGAGCCGGGCAGCGGCGTAGGTGCGGAACAGTCTCCTCGCACAGTTCACGTTGGCCGGTTTTCGCGACGTCCGGTCGATGCCCGTGGCATGCCGTGCGGTGGCGAGCCAGTCCGTCACTGCTGTGGCGCTGAAAGCCGCATGTTGGACGGGGAAATTCGGGCGGTGCGGATTCCATCGGGGTGTCCTCGCCGGGCAGCGTGCGCCTTCTCGGCGGCCTGACCCTCTGGCGTCCTGGAATCGGCGACAGCGGGACGCTGATACATGGATGTGCGCGTAACATTTTAGGCGCGCAGTGCGCTGTTCCTCGGTGGCATTCTCCTTCTGCGTGGAGGAGAAAGCCGCCCGAGGCAAAGTCACTGTGTGGGATTGGCCTTCTTTCCCTTGTGGTTCAAGCCGTGCGGCGCGTGCATTGTAGCTCCATTTTGGCGTCGTGACATTCTCATTCTCACCATCGGACAGATTGTGCCGGGCGTGGCTGGCCGAGGCTCCGGCACTGCTCGCCCGCCTGTCACATTGAGGGCATTCATGAAGTGTTGTAGCTCCTGGTGCCGGATGTGGCTCTGTTTCGGAGCGTTCGTGTGCGCGTGAATGGGATGGTAGTCCCGCCCTCGTTTGGGCCTTGAATCCACAGGGCGTGCACCGGAACGGGGTGGATGCAGCCAGATCGTCATATCCCCGAGGACGCCTCCTTCGTGACCCGGAGCGGTCCTGCTTGTGGCAGTGTCGGTGACGAAGTCTGAGTCCGGCTTTTTGGTCGGACGACGCCGAGCAGAGACTGCATGGGAATGGCTGCGGCCTGGGCTGCGTAATCTGTGGCGGAGGTGCGGTCGGCGTGTCGTCTCTCGCTCTCGTCCCCGCTCAATTGGTGGGCGGTGGTTCCGGCGGTATTCCTCGCCGTCCCAGGTTGCCAGCGGAAGTTGAATTTCCACAGCATCTGGGAGCGCGTAACGCCATGGGCGTTAACCGTGCGCATGACGACAATAGTGCGGCAACTGCAGTGCTTGCCGCACACCGGGCATTCTGCCGGGGCGTTGCACCGTGGCAGGGTGGAGTCCAGCGGGAGAAAAGGTTTCGTGCGAGTTTTTTGCGCTTCTGTTGTGGGGCATCCAGGCCACAGCAACGGCATGTGCCTGGGATGGCGGGTTGCAGTGGTGGTGGCAGTCATACGTACCTGTGCGGAACCCCGGTGCGGAAGCGATCCAGTGCAGCCTCTTCCTCACGAGTGAGGGTGGAGTCCGTGCGCGTGGGATTCCGGCCGCACGTTGCAGTGGAGCGGCGAGTTTCGGCCTTCAGCCGTCGGGCACAAATGATGCGTCTGGCCAGTGCAACCATGCCGGTGCTCCATGTTTCTGTGAACTGTGCGGGTTCGGATGCCCTCGTGGCCACCGCATCACAAGCTTCGTTCCTGGACACGCCGCAGTGGCCAAGGACAGAATGCATCCGTATACGCGCTCCTCGGCACCGCAGTCGAAGCAGAAGTGTCCAGAGTCGACGAAGTATCGGGTCAGATACCGTGAGGGGGACCGTTTGCGGGCGGTGAGAGGGAAGAGTAGGCCAGTGGAAATTGGCACTCCACACGGCGCAGTGCTTGTCTGCGGAATGCTGCTCAATGGCTTTTTGGACCAATACGTAAGGCGATGCGCTCGGCTCTGTGGCTGCATGATATCGGTCCCGCGCCGGCCCCGGCAACGTTGATCGGCGTTCCATTAAGGCACAGTATCGCCGCCGCTCCACATTCGACTCCGAGTTCCACGGTGCCGTCTGTCCATTCATCGTGACGTTTTCTTTCTGGGTGTGGCGACAGGCCTTTGCGTCGGAAGCGGCGGGCGATCCAGCGGCTGCAAGGTTGGAGTCCAACTTCGTCGGGGTCATCCGCAGCGGCGCCATCGGGAGAAACGTGGAAGCGGACGCGAGCTGCGGGCTGCAGAGAGGCCGCTGTGAGGGGTGGGCAGCGAGCCTCCATCCAAGGCGCAGGGCACCGGGCCATGATGGAGTCGTGTGGTTCTCTGGCGGGGTGCTGCGGGTCGCAGGCGATGGAGGCGCTAGACCGCAAAGCACTGCCACGCGTCTCACATCGGAGCACATACCGGAAGCTGTGCACCAACACCGTGTCGGGGAGGGGCTGCGGCTTTGCTTCCAACACGGCATCCTCCATTCTGCTGCCTTTCGGGATTCCTGCAATCACTTTGCCCGCCTGGTAATGTGCGGAATCTGGCGTGGAGCGGGACGTCGGGGAGGTGTCCCAACACCATAATTCGGTGCCGTACAACGCCTTCGCCTGCACCAGTGCGAGCTGGAACGCTCTCAGGGTGTCTCACTTAGTTCCCCGCACAATGAACAAAATCGCTGCCAGATGGAGCAGGCGCTGGTTCGATTCCTCATGGAGTTTGGCCGCGCGCGCCCATTCCACGAGGGATCCGTAGCGGGCCAAGAAGCCTCACGGGCGATAATGGACACACCGCCGTCTCGACATGTGCGAGCGGCCCGGCAGTGTGGGAACCCCGGCATTCCGCTGGGGTAGCGGGAACGCGGCGGAAGAAACGAGGACGTCGGCGTCTGACTGGGGGTTCGGCTCGGTTCCTTCGGCGCCGCGCCCCACGGCGGTCGCGAAGAAATGGAACGAAAATACTTCTTCGCAGGCGCCCCGCGAAAGCCGCGCCCGGGAGGGGTGGTCGAATGGAGGATGGGCCGGGGGCGCGCCGGGCATAATGGGAATTAAGAAAATCGCGAGGCAGAGGTAAAAGCCCTTCAAGCCTCGCGCTAAGACCGGGTAAAAAAAAAAAAAAAAAACAACAGCAATCGCTGACGCAATTTCTTGGCAGTGTAGGCGCTGTTTTTGATAACTTTCTTGGGCGGTTTTTGACCCCAGCAAAAACCGATGAATGGCCGAGCCGGCGTCGTGGGGCCACTGGAAGGCTCTGGGTGATCTTGCCGTTGCGGGAAAAATACCTCCGACAAGGGTCTCTCTTCCGGTGTGTGTGTGTGTGTGACCCTCCCTATCATTGCGCGCGCCGTCTTTTCCTATTCATTGGCCTTCGTTTGTTCAAAGCGAACCGCAGTTTCTTCCGCCTTTCTGTTTGCGCACCTTCGTTTTTCAGGTGCCTGCGCGTGCGTGTGTGCGGCTCTTGGTTGGGGGTTCCGAAGGCGGAGTCTCAGGGCATCGAGCGAATTCTGCTCCACAGGTGCTTCCATTTCCTTTTGGGCGAGGGAACGGATTATATCGGGCAATCTCTGAATCCTCGCGCATGCGCCGCCGTTCAAAAATGCAAGGCGATTCTTGTGAATCGGCGGCGGGAGTCCACTCCTTCTTTCTTTTCTCCAATCCCCCCATTCAGTGTTCAGAATGGTCAATGGCACTTCGTTCCCCACTAAAACGAAAAGGGAGGGGAGTGATTCACAAAACCAATAAAAAACAAACAAAAAAGAAATACCTCTGTTCTCTGAATCACGGGTGCTTTTCCATAGGGGATAGTGCAATTACTTTTTCTTGGGGAGGGAAAAGAGATCCGCATTTTAATTCGAGCAAATGCTTTTATGGAAAAATACTCCGTCAATTGTCTCTCCACAAACTTACTAAGGAGACGAGGCGAACACCCAAGAAGAAATGTAATCGATGTATATGTTCTCCGGGTTTTACTGAAAGCACAACTGCAAAAAAACGGCCCTGTTGTAACTGGAAATGGAATGGTCCAATAGATTGTTGTCGCTCCCGCAACCTTCTTTTAGACGATGAAATGCCACTTCCGAATCATCGGTTGAGAAATAATTGACGCCACCGTGGTTGAGAAAGTGGTATCGGCCGAAGCATGCGTACATGCGATGTACGCGATGTTCAGTTGTGGGCGACGGTGTCTTCTCACCCTCTACGGAATCCTCTCCTTCTTTGATTTGGGTGTCCATGGCGTCCATCGCCTTCATTGGTCCTTCATTCGCGTTTGAATTTGACTTAAACCATCGTTGTAGCGAACTTGGTAGTCCCAAAATACTTTGAATGAATTGATCGGCCAAATCTCGGGCCATCTGATCCACACATAATAGTCGTGGAATGATGTCTGAACGGTAAACTAAGTGATGAAAATTAGACCGCCACCCACATCGCTCTACGCACTGGGCCAACTGATAGTTGCCTACCAATGGTGCCCCAATGGAGATGCATTTCAATTTATCTTTTAGTATTCCTGGGTGTGCTCTAAGCATCCGAATGGCGACCAACTGTGCAACAGCTCCGCCCAGGGAATGTCCTGAAAGTACCAATCGATAACCATTTTGACGGACGTCATTGACAAGTTGCTCTATCTGTTGTGTGCTTTCTTCAGCTTCATGGGCAAAGCCTTGGTGAACACGGGCCTCCCAAATTAACCGCACGCCGCCACATAATTGGCGGAATTCAGCACTTGTATCTGATGAACCGGCCAGACCATCAACGAGGCGCGACCATACTTGTTGCTTTATTCGTCCACAACGCATGTTGACATTAAACGTGCGATAATCATGTGTTCCTGGAAATGATACAAATTTGACCTTTCCAGGGGCCTCAAATACGGAATAGCGTGGGCTGGTGCGTATCAATTTTAGTAAACGGGAATAGGGTACGTCAGAAAGGGACATTGTGAGACTTGGGAAATTTCCGTATTCATACGCCACCGTTGAAGAAATAACAGAGAGCAACAAATCCTGCGCCTCCACCAAAGAGTTCAATGTAGGAAAGGCACGAACCTCCTGAAACCGTGGGAACAATACTCGAAATAAATTTTCTACTTCTTCAGCTGCATATTTGTCCACTGCGGCGCATCGAACTGAGAATTCATTAGCTTCCAGGTATTTCACGGAATCCGCCACCTTTGCCAACTCCTTTGCATCTAAACGAACAAGACGTTCTTCGTGTAATCTTGTCGTGGTCGTCGGAAGGCCACAGTTAAAACATACACTGTGGTAGGTGAGTGTACTACAAGAAGGAACAATACACACCTTTGGCATTTCTGTGGCTCTCTGTAGGACATAAAGGCCCCATAGTAAATGGTTGTGCTCATTACAGCGAGAAAGAGTCGCTATTCCGTATGGAAGGGCGCAACTATTGCAAACCTTCATGGGTTCACTTAACATGTGCACATAACGCATCCTTTCCCGACAATCAGGACAAACGGCTTGCCAGCACTTTCGGCAGTGATGCCTTCGTATACCCATTGTTTTTTGACAATTAAAACAAACACGGCATTTGCACACTTCCTTTTTCCGTCTGCACAAAGCACATGTGCGAGTTAATGCCACGGGAAACCTCGACACCAATGGGGCGGCATCGGACCATTGCGGCTGCGTGTGTGTGTAATGATATTCCCTGACCTGGATTTTGCGTTCCCACTGCGATTGCGACATGGAGGATTTTTCTCCTTTGCACAACTCTGCAATCGGGGAAGTAAATAATATAAAAAAAAAGGAAGAGAAAAAAAGTACAATTGTGAGAGTAAGTAACATACCATTTCTCCCGTTGCTTTTTTCTTTTTTCTTTGGCAACTACAAGACATTTTGCCGGTTGCCCCCCCCATCGCCAAGTGGAGGGTGCGAAACACACACACACACTTTACGCATCCGCCCCCGGGCCTGCGCGGTGTGGCGCAACAATCCGTTGTTACCGAGAATCCGTAAAATATCAAATCCGCAAAATAAAAAAATGCGAGAAGTGCACTTCAAAAGAGGAATTGTGCTGGTGTGTTGTCTCTTGTCTCTTCCGCCGTTTATTATAAAGACCGTACATACCGCCGTGCAAGTTGCGGGTGCTGAAAACCTATTTCCAACAGCCTTCTGGAGAACATCGTGCGCAGCATCTTCCCACTACGAAATGTTAGTGGCTTTTCTATTGTTCCAAGCTCAGAAGAAAAACTGGTAAAATGCTCCGCACTATTTCTATTAATTCTGCTTCTTGTTTGGGTGGTGACGCTCATCTCATCTCCCTCCCTCTCTCTCTCTTTTTCTTATCTTTTCCTGTCATCATTTCTTGTATACCGCTTACATTCACAGAACAAAATAATTCAACACTCGGATGAAATTAATATGTGGCCTTGGCGTCTCACTTCTTTGCGTATTGTGCAAGAATGGGCAACAGTGTGTAAAATGCATCCTGCAGTTCCTCCTGGCTACGGGC